GCTAGAATAACATCACCTCCGTTTCTGCCTCTACGCCCATGTAAGCACACCAGGACCCCACACTTCAGCAAGGAATGAAGAGGTGGGGTGCTTCCTTCTGCCTTCTGAAATAGAGGGTGCTCAGGAGCACCGACTTTATGGCGCATTTTTCAGAGAACAACAGAAAAGCAAAGATTTTGTCAGCATTTGGTAAACAAACCAGGAATATGAACACTTTCAGCTTTTATGAAGTTCCACTTATCCAGGTCTCCGACCAACTGAGGGTACTCTACAATCAGAGGGTCCAACTCGCTGCAGACCAAACTGAGAAAAGAGCAAGTGAAGGGTAAGTGATTCAAAGAGGACTTTTTGCCCTTTATTACTCCCTGGCAAGCTGATGCCCCAAGCAAAACAGACTCAAATTGCAACAAAACATGACAAAACACTGTCCTGGTCCATACAGGTCCATAAGACACCTCCTTCAACAGGAAAGCAGATGAAGAGTCACATTTTAGAGGCAAATCATTAAAGCAAACACTTTTAAGAACAGAGTCGTCAGAAAGTGATTTGTCAACCAGTTACAGGTTTAATATAAAAATGTTTAGTCCCGTCCTAAGCTTAATTGTTCAAATGAAAACAAGTAGTGGAACCAAAATCTTGAACAAGATGATGCAATTTGTTTCAACAGCGAGCTTGTTGGGTGACAAGTACAGTAACCTTACTCCAGAACATACATGTCCACACCTATCGTTGCCTCACCAGCCGCCTGGTTCTTGCCTGGACACCTTCAGGTGTCCGTCCTTTCTGAGGCAGATCCTCGCGTAACGTTACAGCGGCCACATCTCTGGGGAGTCTGAGTTTTTGCTAACAGCACACACAGACATATCCCTATACAGTCTACGAGGATTTAGTGGGGACAACGACTGAAACGTCTTCTCAGTCTCGGGGGAGAGTCAAGGACTGTCAGGAGCGGTGCGAGAACCTTGCGCACAGTGTATTACATCACGTTGGCAGACACCTATTTAGATCTTAATGGTTTAAGTTTAGCATCTGTCAGGAGTACTAAATTCAAATCAAAATCTTCTAAAAATTGTTTAAAGAAAATACTGATAACCGTCAACAGTTTTCTGACAAATCAAAAGAACTATGTACACCCATGCCAATCTTAGCTTATCAGAAAAAAAATGAAACGGCACGTAAAAAAAATAATACCTTTAAGTATAACATTCCAAACTGTTATCCATTCTGCCAGGAAGCTACAATAATGGTTGTTCACATGTGGAAAAAGAAAGCATCCCTCCTAGGGCAAATAAAGTTGAACAATCCTAGCAAACTATAGCAAAAAAAAAAAGGGAAACATTTGCCCTAAATTAACACAAAGGCAAGCTGGAAGAAAGGTGGCAACTGCACTTTTATCGGCCTCTTCACAAACGGTTTTCAGGAAGAGGCTGGAGTATATTGCTATTATCTGGAAATATAATAATGACAAAAACCCCCAATCTTCCTACCAAATTTCATCACCTCCAAAATTGTTTTGGTCTTTTTTTTTTTTTTTCAATAATTAATCTAAGGTCTTATGCCTACATATTAGTTTTGAGCTTGTTTTACAAATAGAAATTAAAAAAAAAAAGGCAAATACTAGTCAATTGGCAAAGGGTTTCCATGCCCTAGGGGTATCACAGGCTTGAAACGCTTCAGTCCGTATTTCGACTAACATGAACTAGCAATCATCCTGCTTCCACAGAGATGTTCCCAGAGACATTTACTTCGGTGATCTCCTGGTCTCGGTTAACTTAGTCTTTAACAAACCCATTATTTTTGTTTCCAAACCCTTCACTTGAAGTTGGTCCGTCAGATTAACTGGTTTGAAACCATGCAAAAAGAGCAAATAGTATTTTTGGACTTCAGATAGTTTTAACTCATATTCCGTAATTTTTTATAAGTTAACAGAGCTTTGAATGAGTTAAGGCACCCATATGCCCAGAAAAAAAAATAAATACCTTGGGCTAAATACAACTAAGTGTTCAGCAGTCATTTAATTGCACAATCGTCTCCCTAATTTCTAGCATAATGCTGCCAAATGTCTTTAGAGACCCTAAAATATGAACACTACGAACGGACAAGGCATTGACAAGACATTCTCAAGGTTCATTGTGTATTCCTGGCTCCTCAAGGTAACTGCTACTCCTAACGTAATCAGCATTTAGCAGCAAGATCAGCATGTTCTAAGAATGAAATAAATATTCACACAATCAATACTAATGGTTCAAATGCTCAAACACATTATTGAAAACAGTAAAATTTCCAATCTTTCTCCTGCCAATCCAAGATTGCAGAAACAAGACCCTTGGCAACAACATTCACAGCTCTCAGTACCACAGAAGCTTCTGCAAACAAATTCTAGGCCTGAAGTGTTGTCATCTGTGGTGCTTGCGAGGTGCTTTACTGTGTTCGAAGCTGGTAGTCTGTAAAGGGGGAAGAAAACAAGAAAACAACCCAAAAACCAGTTTTAGTAAATTGTCTCACTGAAAGTAGTAGAACAGATCAGCAAATTGGGATGAAGTAAAACCAAATCTTTGCTTAGCAAGGCCACAATAACGAGCTCTAAAGCAGTTCAGGTAAATGCAGGCAGCCATGCTTCCGTGTCTGAAAAAGTTAAACAAGAAAAACCACAAACCCAACCCCTGCCCCCAACCCCCCCACCACTTTTACTCGCTAACAATCCAGTACCTTTTAGCAGTCAGTGTCTCTCACAGCTTAACAGCGGCAGGATGGTATGTGTGAGCAGTCCCTTTTTAAATTTACCGTCCAAAGAACTCACCACATCCCAGTTCAACTACAAAACACTTGAACAGCATTGCTGAGCGATCCCACTGGGTCTTTCATTTAAGACACCAAAAAAGGTGACTGGAAAGAGCAGCATACCTCAACCTAACACGTGCCTAAACTGTACAGTTTAACACTCAACAACACAAGCAAACTGGTTTTGTGTGTTCCAGTTTGCAGGTGTGTGCTGGAGCCAGAAAAGACACAAGTTGGAGACACCTGCAGTCTATTGCCTTCCATTTACCTCCATTCTGGGTAATGTAACGAACCCACGGGAGGGCCTGATAGCCGCTCTTCTCGATTATCTTTAAGTAGCGAACCTGGAAAGAGAGATATGTTGAGAAATAAAGTCCCCCATGTCAGCCAAGCAGTGTTTAGCAAAAAACAAAGGCATTTTTTTGGTCAAAAATGTGCTTTATAGATAACATTGAACAGGAATCACCAAGAAGATGAACAACACTTCTGCATTGAGCCCAGCACATTAGCTGACCAGCACCTCTGTTCCCAGTGACTAACCTGGATTCCTGAAGTGGTGAAATATGGAATCTCAAACTTGACACTAATGGGAGGTTTTCCTTCCTTATCTTCAGCTTCAACACTTGGAAGTCCAAAGTGAGCTCTCATCAGGTATTCTTTTCCACCCTACCCAAAAGGGACAGAGTTTTTTTTGTTGTAACAAAAAAATAAGAAAACTTGCAACCATAAACCATACAAGTGGTTTTCTTCTTGTCAAACTGCTGACTCCACTAATCATTTCGGCTCTTCTCTAGGACTTCCAACACTTGTTTTTATTTTTAAAAACAAATTTATTATTATTATTATATTTTTTAAGATGCAGACCAAATTAAGACCAGCTTCATACTCAGACAAGAGGAAAACAAACCCGGAAAGAGGGAAGTTTTTTGGTGGCGCTGACCGTTCGGATGAAATGGTGACAGACAGCTGTACCACCAGCAGCATTCGAAGGAGCTCATGCTCGTGGAACCACCCAAGCAGCACAGTCTGACAAAGTAAACCAGCTGCTGCTAGATCTAGGCCCAAGGGATTACACCATCCACAGACATCGCTCAAAAATCTGCTCTCTAACCCAGTTCTGAAAAATTATCCCAGCTAAAAATGAAAGAAATAGAAGCTACAGCATCTCAACCATCTATTAGCAAGTTCCAAGCCTTCATCCAAGGGAAAAAGAGGAAGACGCCAGTCCCACTTGTCTGATACTATTACAATTTGCTTTAGGCAGAGTCTGAACATTCATAAAATATTAACGTTAAGTAATTTTTGCACTATTAGGTGGTAAGACTAAAAATAACACTTACTGGAAAAGATTTAATGGACCAGACAATTTCACTGTTCTCTGGAACCCATTTGACACTTCCCACAGTGGTTTTAAACTTTGGCGAGTCCGCATCGTTTGGGACCGGAATGTGAATCTCCACATTGTTGGCAGTTGATCTACGCTTAAATTGACTTTTTGCCTATAGAAGAAGAAAAAAAATAAATCAGAAAAAGCAGACTTCTACACGTTTGTGTCACACTAGTGAGCTCAGAGAGCTGTGAGACACAGCTCCCCTCCCCCCCAGCCTGCACACCGAGTACCAGAGCTGTAACAGACGGATCGTAACTTACAGGTAAAGTTTTCAAAAAGATGCAAATCCCCCAGAAATACTAAATACTTGTGCAAAAACGCACATCCTGCAGGTCAAGCTTTGAAAACAAACGAGAGAGAGGACTAAAATTAGCCGTAGTTATTTCAGAACTTCTGACCTTGATCATGTACTCGATGCGGCTGTGGGAATGTTTTTCAATCACAGACTCAATCCAGATCAGTGGTTTTACCTGATGGGGAAAAACACTTCACAGCTGTAGGTTGTACTTTGACAATGTCATTACAATGTTGCTTCCCCGTAAAGCTACGCTCAGCAGTGAACCCCGCAGAAAACAGAAAGTCAGTGGTGGTCCAAACGACAAACAGGTTGGGTTGTTATTTAAAAAAAATATATACACAAATGAGCAAGCATTGATACACCAGTGACCAAGTATTACAAGAACTACAGGCTCAGATTAATCCCTAGTAACAAACACTTGCATTCCAAAATATTTGATAATTTACTTTTCATTTGTTGTCTCCTACTGCATGTTACAGACCTTCATAGCTGCATATTATAGACCTTCTCTGTCCTGAACTGTTCCTTTTCTGCGAGGAAAGCTGTCCTTAGCCCTGTGGCTAGCACACTTTAGTAACATTAAATGACACAAAGGGGGCTGATGTCAAGCACAACAAATCGTGACACTGGCATTTCATCATGTTAGCTTAAAAAAAAAACCCCGCTCATCACAGGAACAGTTCTTTCAGGACCAGTTTCAACAGCAGTTGAGAAGACAGAGACTTATTGCCAAGTTATTTCTAAACCCGTTCTTACTCCCTCCAAAAAGAGGGAGCACAAAGCTTTGCTACTAACGGCTGACTTGAAAACTACTATGCTGCCCATACCATAACGAAAAAAAAAAGTAACTCAGGGAAAGCCATGAGCGATTCTGCCTGCAACCTGAAACGTGATCGTATAAAAAAAGATGCCAACGCCCAGACTTACGTGGGTGTTGAGACGATACGACATGAGTTCAAACTCTCCATCGGGCGGAATGAAAGAAATCGTCCTGTCGTTTTCAAAGCGAGAGAGACGGACGCACTGGTGGAACTTCACATCTTCCAGTTCTACCGATTTACTTTTGCCACCTGAGCAGAAAAGACACATTTCAAGGTGCTGCACAACATATGCCTCAAGTCCTTTCCCAGCCAGTTATGCAGCAAAGCAGCTGTCTGCTGACGCTCCTCCCTTTTGGCCAATACTTTCTTTAGATGCCTGTAGGATTTTTGGGATTACAGAAGTCCCAATGAAAAAAAGAGATGAAGAAGCCCAGATGGTGCCATGTTTGCTTGGTTGCACCAGACCTAATGTGGTTTTCTACGCTGAAAAAGGGAGTATTTCTATCACCTTAGAACAAATCCTT